ACTTGTAACAGACGAAGTAACAGAAGGATTCTAAGCTGCTGCTTTTCTTTTCTTACCTGTGTTTTCTCATAGCCTACTACCGAAGGCGATTTGTAACAGCCCTTCTAGAACCAATGCTGGGACACCTGCTTCCACTCTCCAATGCACAAACTCTATCTGCAGTGCAGCCTGCAGCATTCATGACAAGAAGCCTCCATTCAGCTGGTCTTTTCAAGAAAATTATACTGAAGTCATCAGCTATTGAAAACAGCAGATGATACAGCTTCATACAAAACACAAACTGCTTTCAAGTGGAGTTTATATAGAATCACCCTCTAGTTTAAAGATTAGGACAAAGCTGATGGATTTCATTAATCTGGAATCAATTCATTAATAACATTTTTATTTTCTGAATGATACATGAATTATTGCTTTTTAAAAACAACAACAACCAAGAACACCTGAGAAGATGGTTCTTTGGCCAGATGCTTTTTGTCTCTCTCTCTTTTTCTCTTTCTCCCATGGGAAGATGACTCACAGTCCACAGCTGTTTTTGTGCCTGTGTAACTAAATGCAAAAGAAAACCTAGCTCACTGGCCTTTTCCATCCAAGTTACCTAAATCTAAACTCTGAAAGCGCCAAAGCAGCATGATGAAGATCTCATAGCCTTTAGAGATATCCCTTCAGTCGCTCCAAAAGCAAATATCTTAGATTGAGAAAATACATTAAATGAGAACAGAATATAAACTTGATTATGCACTTAGCTATGTTAGAAAACCCACAGGAAACCAGAAAGGGGGCAAAACAGAGGGTGTAAAAAAAATCTACATAGCACAAATCTGATTTTCTGAGTCATCTGCAAACATTTACCTCATTCCCTCATGTGAATGATATTTTCACCTATATAATTTATTTTCACATTGCTCTCTAACATATTGCTTCAGGTATCAAAAGGTTTAGACTGTGCAAAGTTTTATTCACTGGTGCCTTTTTAATGTCTCTGTATTATGAAATTCTGTCATACACAGACAAACAGATTTAAGTTAGACTTTGGGAGTGTGCCATTTCAGAAAAATTTCCCTTAGGAGTTTCAGCTAATTAAGCAAATGATTGTAAAATACCCACAGTGTCAATGTTGCTGGCCCTTACCATGGACAACTAAAGCCAGATTTCAGTCATCTATCTCCATGCATGCTGGCCTCTTCTCTTACCCTCTCCCTTCCCCACTACAAGCATGTCCTATAATAACAATGTGTGCAAGGATAAGAGTAAAGTTTAGAGAGCAAGGAGACCAAAACTTAAAAAAAAAATACCAGGCACGTACAAATTATTTCACTATTCATACAGGTATTCATCAATGGAAATTACTTTTCCTCATAATAAATAATTTATGTCACTCTGTCCAATAAAAAAAATTCTATTCTGCAAATTTGAGATTATCTCATGGTTTGTGCTTGTTCTTTTTTTTCTCAGAGAGAATTTGTCCTTCGTGTGTGAAATATTCTTCGAAACAAATCTGTTTGGTCTCCTTTAACTTCTTTTTACTCATCTTTCATTCCCCAAATCTCTATCAACCATGTGGGGTGGACATAAAATTTGGGGTCAATTACAATGAGTGGGTGGATGAAACGCTATGCAGAATAGAAAACTCGAAAAGCACTTCCTTAAAAATACAGACTATTGTGATTTTGACTTGAAAATCACCTGAGAATATCTGTAAGGCCTAAGGCTGTATATGGAAATTTAGGAAAAGAAATAATTTATATGCAAATATATAAGTGAGACCCCAGATTGTTGGAAAGGTGGCGTGGAGATCAACAATTTTCAGCTGTGCCTGAGGATTATGATAATGTGAGCTTTCCAGTGTCTACAGTGTGAACTAAGATTTTCATTGCTGCCATGGTGGTTTTGTTTAGGCAAAATAAGAGGAAAAAAAGGAGAGGACCTAGTGTAGGGAAGGCAAGACCTGAAGAAAGAAGAGTGAGAGGAGGCTAGCCAATGGTTTGCCTCTTATGGGAATGTGGGGTATGGGACTTTATAAACCTATCCAATGTAAATGTTGAGTGTACACTGATAAAGTACACCTGGAGTTAAGTTACTCCACTCCCTTGAGATTAGAGGAAGTTCAGGGAGGAAATTTTATTAGACTTTAAATAGAAAAGGAGAAGGGAGGAGAAAAGGAAGCAAGTCTAAAAGATAAAATTTAAAACAAAAACAAAAAAAACAATCTCCTCTCCTTTCACTGAAGAGGGAAACTTTCCTCTAAGTAGCATGTTTGGGTAGATCATCCAGAAAAAGCAGCAGTCTTTTAACTCTTTCCTTCCAAATCCAGATACAAACTCATGAACATTGGTTGTTTCTAAAGTTATCTGGCTCATTCTATTAAGGGGGAAAAAAATATCACTTTAAGAGGGAGCAGCAAGAAAACTAAACCAACACACAAACAAACAACAAGGAACACATTTACTATAATCCCCCAAAAGCCCCAGGAATTAGTAAAATAAATAATGAAAAAGAGAAAAGCAAAAATAGAGAAGTTCAGTAGTGCCGGACTAGTTAAAGACAGTACAGATGCTAATGGATTCAGGAGAGTGAGCGCAGAGGTAGAGTCACAAAAGTGTACACTCAAAATGTGTTACTGCCATTGTAAATGGTTAGAGCTTCCCTTTTGTTATATGCAAATGCGATTTTACATCACTTAATGTGTATTTGTGAAAGTTAATAGACACAAACTTGTTAATGGTTAATTCCTTAAATAAACAAGGTAACATCAAGGTAACATCATTGTATACCATTACAGGAAACCCTGTATTTGCCTTTTTATTTTCAGACTAACTTTTCACATGTCTTATCTCTAAAACCATACAACTAAATAACAAGCAACCCATCAATTAAAAAGAAGTAAAGGCCCTAACCCAGCCGTGGGCAAACTACGGCCCGCGGGCCGGATCCACCCGTTTGAAATGAATAAAACTAAAAAAAAAAAAAAGACCGTACCCTTTTATGTAATGATGTTTACTTTGAATTTATATTAGTTCACACAAACACTCCATCCATGCTTTTGTTTCGGCCCTCCGGTCCAGTTTAAGAACCCATTGTGGCCCTCGAGTCAAAAAGTTTGCCCACCCCTGCCCTAACTGGTGTTGCTCAGTGGATAGAGCGTTGGCCTGTGGACTGAAGGGTCCCAGGTTCGATCAAGGGCATGTGCCTGGGTTGCAGGCTCCTCCCAGACCAGGGCCCTGGTCAGGGTGCATGTAGGAGGCAACCAATCAAAGTGTTTCTCTCACATAAATATTTATGTCTTTCCCTCTCTTTTCCACTCTCTCTAAAATCAATGGAAAAATATCCTCGGGTGAGGATTAAAAAAAAAGAAGAAGTAAAGGAACTCACACATTATGACAATTAAGAAGAAAAATATTACCAGGTTAATTCATTATTTTCTTGTTAATTCAAGAATCGCAATATAACTATAAACTGTGTTTATATAAAAACAAAGAATAACATGGGTAGCAACACATATTTTGAAGCTACTAAAGTATGATAGTTTTAAATATTCTAACCCATCCTCTTCCTTTTTTTTCCCATTCCACTATTCTACCCTACCTACCGAATTTCTTTAACAGAACATCATTCTATCAACACAACTCTTTATATGATTCTGCAGGTCACTTTTGTGTTAGCTTCACTAGCATTCAACTCAGATTTCTTAAAAGATCAATTGGATCTGCGCTGGGCATTTAGACACACGAATGAGAGTGGAGTTATACAATGAGCCTTTTCTTTTTCGTCAAGTTGAACTAACCCCCTTATTTCCTGCACAATACAATATAACAGAGGAAAAAATTAATCAGCATCTGCAGTTCTTTTCTTAAAGGAGAAAAGACACAGTCCTTTTTTGTTTTAACTTTCAACTAGAGAAGTTAGTTTTCACGTGATAAAATCTCATTCCTTAGTACAACCAAGTTGGTGATTCTTCAATTCTTCTACTGCAAGATGTTAGGCACATAGTTATATATTAGACATCGATGTCTATATTTAGCCAAAGTGGATGGGTTCAGAACCGGCTTCCCCCTAGTGCAAGCATGTCAAACTCGCGGCCCACAATGAATATTTTTGCAGCCCAGCCAATATAACGGTATGTAAGAAACATTTTAATAAAAATTTTGTAGCTTAATTTTTACAATATCCTGTTATACATAATTATTAATAACAACCTACAACATTCACTAATGACTGATTACTATTATTGTGTTGCATTCATTTCCCTTACGCACCTTACGTGCAGGTGCACCATTTCTCTTCCCTAATACTAGCAGCGGGTATTTTAGCAGCCAATTGGCACATCATTAGTCTTCAACTGACTTGTTTGCTGTGCGCAACAGGAAATATTTTGCTTTTGGAAAACAAGAAAAATAGGTTTATTTGTGTTATGCTTATCAATTTGTGCAGTTATTCAGTGTCTGGTAAGTTAATGTCCAAAAAATATTAATTTTTATTAAAATGTTCTATTATTTTATGTTAATTACTCATTTATCGTTATTTTATAATGATTACCCTTTGTATTCAGCATGTCTCTATCGAAATAAACCTACGTTTCTATGAAAATTGAAGCTTTTGTTTTTTTTGCAGCCCACATAAACTTAAACCTTGTTTATTTGGCCTGTGTTAGCCTTTGAGTTTGACATGCTTGCCCTAGTGTTCCACTTTGGCATGTGGTTTATTTTTAACTGAAGGCAATCAAGACCCTGTGGACACAGGAGAAATTTCCACCCCTCCCCTAACTATCTAGAAGTCTCTAAATTGGAGGCCTTGCCCACAATAAGAGTTATTACCAGAAATAACCTTTTATGACCTATCTATATGGCAGAGTAAACATCTAATTACTGAACATCTGCTCTTCTTATCATCCTACAAATTACTCTCTTCCTCTCTGAAGCCTCAGGGCTCTCACCTCATTCCTTGGCTCAGAATGGCATGTATACCTCATTTTACCTTTCTATCGCTGAACATCTCCTGTATTGAGTCTCTTACTCTGCTGTATGTAGGATTCCAGTATGTATGCATGTAATAAAATTTGGTTATTTTCTCTTGTTGACATGTTTCATGTCAATTCAACTGTCAAACCAGCTGAAAAAACCTAGAAAAATAGAAAAAAAAGCTTTCCTCCCCCAGAAAAGTAACTCAATTGTAATGTTCATATATAGTTCTCATTTACTTCATATAAACAAATTTGAAGTTTCAACAAATAGAAGAATGAACTTGAATTTATCTCCTTGACAATCTACATTAAATAGAATCCTAAATAAGACAAAAGATTAACTGCCATGAGAAAGTCTATAAAAATTTCCTGTTTATTTCTGTTTCCTTTTTATAAAGCTAGGTTCATACTGCTCCTGGTTAATGATTTTAAATCACTGTAAAAACAGCCTTAAAATATCCCTGCATTTTTCAGAAACTAAAACATGAGGTTTCTTGATTTTAAATTTGATATTTAGCTTTCTGTATTATGAGATGGTCAAAGTGGTTCATGAACATTTCTTCCTCTTTCCCACTGTGATAGAATCCAGCAAGTGTGATTATTACTAAACTAGGGGCCCAGTGCATGAATTTGTGCACCTTGAAAGGAACTGTGGGCCTCAAGGCTGCAATGGGCAAAGAGGCAGGTCTTGGCCCATCCTCCACGCCCCTGCCCTGCCCCTCCCACCGTACCCCAGGTCCCCTGTCTGCCAGCAGCCCAACTCCCACTGCTGCTGCTCCCACATGCTAACAGCACTGGCCCCCGCTCGCACCTGCTGATAGCACAGAGCAATTTGGGCCGGTGCCATCAGTGGGTGTGAGCGGCAGCTGCTGCCCCAATCACCCCTCAGGAGCAGGGGGAGGTGGAGAAGCCCTGAGGGGCAATCGTGGCTGGCGCTGGCAGCAGGTGCGAGCATTCGGCAGGACCACTGCATGCAGGAGCAAAGAATTTTCAGTAACTACCAGAGGCTCACCCTGATGATAGTGACTGGTGCCCCGCCTTGGTCTAGCACCCCCACTCACCTGCTCCACCATCCTGCCATGGCCAACGCCCGCCATATTCCATGCATGCCCACTGGTGGTCAGTGCAGGTCATAGAGACTGGTTGTTTGGTTGTTCTGCCATTCAGTCTATTTGCATATTATGATTTTTTATATAGATATTATCACAATGTGGTTTACATTTAGCCACAGATTGAGGTCTGGGTAATGTGACCCATAATAATGAGAGCTTGATGAGAAACCAAAAAAATTTGTCAATAATAAACAACAGTGTTCTAAATCTTACTGCTAACTGCATATAGACATCATGACAAATGAAATTCAATTAATTTCATTTAACTTTAAAATAATAATGCAATGCCTTCCCCCAAGCTTCACCTCTGGGAAACTAGGCTTATTTACTGATAACAATGTGTGATAATTGTCATTTTTTAAGTTGTTTTCTAAGAGATACTAGTATTTCTATATTGCTATCATATCATTCACTTACTATAAAGACATGGTTACTGTTTAGACTCTTTTTCAGAGTCCTAGCTCCACCACTTAATAGCTGCATTACTCTGGGTGAACCACCTCAGCTTCTTACATCTATAATGAGGATAAAGACACCTACCTTCCCAATTATTCATAAGAATTAGAAATACCCTATATTAAGAACCAAATAGTGTATCAGTCTTAAAATTGTCATTCAGTCAGTGATGACCTTTCTTGTTCTTATTTTATTTGCTAACTAGAGGCCCTGTGCACAAAAATTTGTGTACTCGGGGGTGGGAGGTCCCTCAGCCCGGCCTGTGCCCTCTCGCAGTCTGGAACCCCTTGGGGGATGACCACCTGCTGGCTTAGGCCTGCTCCCGGGGGATTGGGCCTAAGATGGCAATCAGACATCCCTCTGGCAGCCTGGCAGCCCTTGGGGGATGTCCACTTGCCAGCAGGGAGCAGGCCTAAGCTGCAGTTGGACATCCTTAGCGCTGCTGAGGAGGCAGGAAAGGCTCCCACCACCACCGCTGTACTGGCAGCCATCAGCCTGGCTTGTGGCTGAGCAGAGCTCCCCCATGTGGGAGCGCACTGACCACCAGAGGGCAGCTCCTGCATTGAGTGTCTGTCCCCTGGTGGTCAGTGTGTGTCATAGTGACCAGTCATTCCCAGTCGTTCTGCTGTTAGGGTCAGTTTGCATACTACCCTTTTATTATATAGGATAGAGGCCTGGTGCATGGGTGGGGGCTGGCTGGTTTGCCCTGAAGGGTGTCCCAGATCAGGGTGGAGGTCCCCATTGGGGTGCCTGGCCAGCCTGGATGAGGGGCTGATGGCTATTTTCAGGCTGGCCACACCCCCTTTAGGGTGGGGGTCCCCACTGGAGTGCCTGGCCAGTCTGGATGAGGGGCTGAGGGCCATTTTCAGGCTGGCCAGCGACTGAAGCTCCCAGCCTCTCTTTTTTTCTTTTCTTTTTTATTCTGGGATTTATTTACCTTCTATAATTGAAACATTGTTGCTTTTGGTGGAGCTCAGAGCCGGGCTGCCGGAGGCCGGGAACCTTGGCTTCCTCCATCACTGGAGCAAGCAAACCTCCTGCTCACTTCAGCTGCGTGGCTGCCGGCCACCATCTTTGTTGGCAGTTAATTTGCATATCGCCCTGATTAGCCAATGGGAAGCGTAGCAGAGGTACGGTTAATTACCCTTTTTGTCTTTTACTAAATAGGATAACATTTATAACCATGTGTCCTAAATCTTGGATTTCAATTTTTCTTCCATTATTCAGTATTACAGTTATACAGAAGCTGAATAAAAGTCATATTTCAAATTACGTGTTTATAAAGGCAAAGATTTCACATGACAGAATAAGTGGAAATCACCTGCCAATTTCTTTCCTAATCAAGAACATATTAAAAAGTTCAATAGACGCAAATTTGTTTCATGATAAATAGTTATTTAAAAATAAAATGTTAATAAGTGCTATAATAAGCATTCATGAATAATATTGTTATTCAAGGGAAAATATTAGCATAAGGAAGACATTTGGGTCTTGATTTGAAATTATGGGTACTTCAAATTCACATTGTTTTAGAAATGTACAATGTCCTGAATATCACACATTCAAATTTTATTGGTAAAATGAACAAGACACTATGGAGTTTCACATCAATCAGTTAACACTATCTACTCTAAATCAAAGAAAGAACCCCAAAACTCTAGTGGGTTTTATAATGGAAATAATGCATTTCAATAGTTTCCACTTGGCTTTTCTCCCAAGGTTTCAATTGTTTGCATAACAAATGTTACTCAGCAGGACACACAATAAGGAGTTCACCCAGTTTGTTAGGAACCTAGTTATAGAACATTTTTCTTAGTGATCATAGAATTTTGGATCTTTATTGTAATGAATAGTTTTTCTAGTTTAGAATACGAAGAGATTAAGTCCCTTAACTTATGTGAAACATATAAAAGGAATAAACTCAGTGACAGTGTGAATTCTGAAAAATTGATAGTTGTTCCCCCACCCCCATTTCATGGTTTTGCTTTCCATGGTTTCAGTTACCTGCAATCAACCACAATGCCAAAATATTAAATGGAAAATTCCAGATATAAGCTATTCCTAAGTTTTAAGTTGTGTACCTTCTGAAATCTTGTGCCATCCCACCAAGTCCCACCCAGGAAGCAAATCGTCCCTTTGTTCAGTGTATCCATGAGGCAGGTACTACTCACATCTTAGTCACTTAATAGCCCTCTAGGTTATCAGATCAACCGTCCGAGTATCAGTGCTTGTGCTCAAGTAACCCTTACTTTACTTAATAATGGCTCCAAAGAACAAGAATAGTGGTAGATATGCCAAAGAGAAGCTATAAAGTGCTTTGTTTAAGTGAAAAGGTGAAAGTTCTCAACTTAATAAGGAACTAAATACAAAGTTTATGCTGACCTCTATGGTAAGAACGAATCTCCTATCTGTGAAATTGCCTAATTTCTAAATTAAGCTTTATCATAAGTATGTATGCATAAGAAAAACCATGGTACATACAGAATTCAGTACTACCTGCAGTTTCAGATGTTCACTGGGGGGAGGGACTACTGTATGCCATTTTTCTTTAGATAATATATTCTTTAATCAATTTCTGCAAATGAATCTAATTATTGTTCCCAAATTCCCAGTTGTTTAATGGATCTGATTTAATAATGATTCTAATTATACCCAAGAGGGAAAAGAACTTCTTACATTTTGAAATTACTCTATTTTTACTGAACTGAATGCAATTTACATTTTGTTGCCCTATGGCTAAAAAATAGGCGCTATATCTCAAAATTTTCTATTAAATTCAACAAACATTTATTAAATGATTAGGGTTCAAAGTAAGATTTAAATATAATTCTTTATAGTCTTTTCATTGTGATAGCAGATACACTGAATAAATTTTAATTAGTCCATGGGCTTGCTCCATGTTGCTATTATAAATTTATAAATTACTGTTAAACTATTTTCTACCATGTGCTATTTCATTAATTTTTAAAGATTTTTACTTTATTAACATGTTTACTTCTCTTTTTAAACATTTAAAATATTTTTAAAGTATATTTTCTTGAACTTGCTTTGTTTCTTAGCACGGGTCAAGCCCAATTTCAGTGTGTATAACAAGTGCAACTGCTTATTAACATGGTCTTTAAAGACCATAAATATAGCAGGAAACAAAAAGGCAAAGGGTTCACCTTTGCACATGTTTAATGTAGTATGAACCAAGTAACCTTGCAAAAATTATGTGAGTTATTTTGCATAAAAATTCAGTGTAGCCCAACTTTTCCTACCACATATACAACATGATATATGCTTCTATTCTCAATTCAGTCTTGGCATAACCAGCAAAAATAAAATGAATGTGAGGATAAGGATACAAATAAAAGCATATTTCTTCTTTTTATTTTCAGATGGCGATAGTCCTTAACAGTTTTTATTTTGCCCATAAAAGTACTCAAGATCTTGCCAGCAGATCTTGATACCACAGAGAAATATGTGGCTCTACATACACGTGATGGTCAGAAAGGTGGGAAAAACAATGACTCTGGACTAGTCAAGTGATTATAAAACCAGATTTTCTAATAAGGTTCCAAACGAGCAAGCTAGATTTTCCATATGGCAAATCCAATGAAGATGTGAGAAAAATACATGTAAGACAATAGGGGAGGGAGAGTAAATTACCAGAGGCCCCTGCCAAGAACCAGTCCGGTGGCTTAGAACAGGCATTGAGGTCTAGTCAGCCAGCTCGTGCTTGTACTGGCTCAGGGCTCTCCTATGTGAAGCTTACCCTGCAGGCTTTGGATTTGTTGCCAGCCAGCTGAGCCTTGCTGCCAGCTCCCCTTGGATTCTGGTTACACTTGCCTAGGGGTTCAGACCTGTAAAAGGCAGCAGTCTTGATACGTTTATCCGGAAGCCTGCATCCCTGAAATTTCTCAGCCAGAGTCACTCTAAGTCACCTCAGCATGAGTTTTCACCAAATAAACCTTAATTTTATTTGGATTCATCATTAAATGATCATCGTCTACAACACGAGTTCCCTAATGAGCTTTCCATTCATTCAAGTCAGTGGACGTGTCTATTGACGCCTGGTGTCTATAGAGAGAAAAAATTAGAGGCCGCCCTGTCTGTGCCGATTACAAATGTATCCATGTAGCAAGACTGCAATTGCATTCTGTCACAGCACCAGGACTTTTTAAGTCTTTAGGATATTAGGAATAAACTCTCTGTTGTCCCCTTATTTCTCCTTGATGGCATTTTCCGGTAAGACATCCCTTCCAAAATGCATGGCTTCTGTAAGTTTGTAACTCCAACGAAGAAGTGAATAATCTTCTGCCACCTGTTTGCAGTGTGAGTGATGCCATCCATCACACTGAAAGCTAAAACTGGTGAAAGCCTGCCGGATCGTAACATTATGATATAGGCACTACCTTCTTTTTGGCAGATTCATCCTTTCAAATACTAAGACAACCATAATATGGCGCTGGTAATAACGTAGATCCATTTTCATACCATCCAACTATCTTATCCATTTGTTAATATTTTCCTGTTTGCAATATTCAGTCCCATCCCCCCCCCCCCCCCATAATCTGGAAGGTCCAATAGTCTTATTGACTGCAAACTATCTTTGAGATTTCTTTTCCCAAAGAGTGGGTCTACCACTGCCCCAGTCCCAGGGTCCTCATTAGATAGCAGCTGAGACGTCTCTGAAAGGAACTTTGTCAGATAGTAATTTCAACCGGGAATCTTCACAATGACTGAAGCTTTCTCTAACAGTGACCTTGAAAAAGGACACGGTAAAGTTCTGACTGAGTGTTCTCAAGTCCAAAGAAAAAAGCCCGAAGGTTCTGAAGATGCTGGTTGGGAACATTAATTCTGAAAACCTACAAAGTACGAATCCCCGGGCTCCTTTTAGATTTCCCTCAGCTCCTTCTCTCCCAAATCTCAGCTTCTTTTTCTTTTCACTGTCTCTCTTGTCCATATCTTGTTATTGGGGCCACAGTGGAATATATACTTGTTTGTATTGTCCAGTGAAGTTATTTTTTGTTGTGGCAAAAAAAACGCATCAGATGAAATTTTTTTCATAAGTTTTGATATGTACCCTCCAGTCTTGTTAACGACATGCACATTGTTGTGCAGCAGATCTCTAGGGAATTTTGTTTTTTTCCCCCAAGAGCATTGTCACTTTACCAAAATCAAACTTAAGTCTTACAGTAAAGGGAACTAAAGAATTGCATTATTATTTTAAACAGATATGTCTATTAATATATGGAATTTTATATCGTATGTAATTCACACTTGCCCTCTTTTCAAATTTCATAACTATACACAAAACATCTTGTATTCTAAAATCCCAAAGGGGAATGGATAGCAAGTTAATTCCATGTGTTTACAAAAGGGGCCAGTATTAGGAGAAGGAAGTTTACAGTCAAAGTGACATGAATGGACCATTCATTTGTATGGCCACTAATTCCAGAGGGCAACTGATTATAAATTAAGTGCCTGCCATTCAGTAATAGATGATTATATCTGACATAATGAAGTTATAATGGACGGCGCTCACACACTGCTTGACTATTAAGTGCCCATTTATTGTCCCTGCACCAGGTGCGATAGTGATAGGCTATACAAATCATCCAGAAGAAATGTCACAATAGACTCCTTTGCTGATAAAGCACCACGCATGCTTATTAATATAGCAGCTTGTCTTCGAACTGGCCCATCTGCTCATTTAAAACAAATCTTTTCCCTATAAATATTTTAAAGTTAAGAGCACGACCGCTAGTAATAGTTTTAGAGTAATAGAAATGGAAAGGGAAGACAAAGGAAAATAACTAGCACCTACATGAAAATATTATGCTCTTTCTTTTACCTTGGATTTGTTTAACAGAGCACGGGGCAGGGAGGTAGCTCTTAATGTGGCATTAGCTTTAGATTAGCACCCTCAGAGTGGAGGCCTTCGGAAATGGTCCAGGCTCCAGCTGTTGCCGGTGCCAGGTGGAAAATGGCAAATTGCACCAATGTTTTCAAAGTACACATTTCAATAAAGTGCAAAATGAAGTACTCCGCTAAGCCATTCTCCAGAGGAATAGTTCCTATGCATTCAAACACATCAGAAAACATTTTAGCAGGGGAGATTTTAGAAAGAAAAATGATACCACAGACTTTTTTAGAGGGGAGATTTAAAACGGAGCATTTGCTTCTGCAAAGCCATTTCCTATGTCAACATCACATTTTTATATAACAGGGGATAACAATAGAAGCATAACTTAAATGCCTGTTTTTTTATTTTTTACTGGAAGAAACCAGAAACACAAGGCTAACACACTTTCCAGCTGGTAATCCGGGTTTAATGTGCTTGCAGGGCAGCCAGGACGCTCTGTGTTCTGTCTTCAAGAATGGTTTTGTCTAACAAACAAGTATGCCCTGAGGTGCCCCTCTCGAATGCACACACACACATCTGCAATGAAGTACAACTGTTCAAAACAGTGAAGCAAAGGAAAGGCATGGACCATTGGGGAACCTGAGGTGGTTTTCACTCTACAGCCTTGGCTTCATTTATTCATTCATTTCTACCTAAATAAAGTCTGGCAGGCATGACTTTTTTAGGTTCCAGAAAAGAACTTCATCAAACTCAATGTCACATAAATCTACTAGTCAGGCTTTTCTAAACAAATTACCTATTGAAATAAGTAACCACCTGGTAACAAAAGGGTCGATCCGATGACCTGTAAAAGGCTAAAGGTCTCAGATACCTCTGAAGTTATATTTTGTATCAACTACAGACTGAAAGGAAACTATTTCCAGCCACATTTCAAGTTACATTATTTCCCAAGAATTAATAATGGATAACTTTTAACTTGACTATGAATTACTATTGTCTTCCAGAACAGTATCAATATCTACCAAAATGATGCAAATTAGAAATCAAGAAATTATCTTTTAACTCCCTCTCAACATATCCCACTGATCAGCAAGACTTTTTCCGCCTTTACCTGCAGTGTCTACGACACCAAGTCCATTTTATTTCCATTGCCACTGTCTTCTGGTTTACATTCTCAAGAACCCTTTCTTGAAATAACCTACTAATTCTCTCAGCTCTCAATCCATCCTAAACACCAGAGTCATTCAAACATTTCTATGCAGGAGTTGTAGGAATGCCTTCTGTGCTTGAAGACCTTCCAATATCTATCCTCATTTTAACGGGATCAATATTCTGTGTGCCTAGCATGAGAATTTGATCCTTAGGGATGCAGCCTGTAAAATCTTTTCTTTGGTTATCTGTGAGCAGTCAATGCTCTTACTCCCTGCAGGGACAATACCTCCAGGGCATTAACTGGAATCCAGGCATATGCTCCCTCAGGTCTTGCTTCTAAGGGGTTTAGCACTTAGTCCTGCAGCAATCAAATTCACCTGCTTCCATATTCTTCTGCTACTTCTGGATCAGAGACAGGAAGTCACACGTTACCAAGAAGCCAGTAATGTGGAAAATGGAGGGAAAAGAAGGAAAGAGAATCTTCAGAGAATTTAAGTGGTAAGGGGGAAAGAATTCCCTCTTGTAAATGAAATTTTCAAGAAAGGCCACACCAATATGATGGGATTTACTTCTCTCTAAGCCATTCTCCACTCTCCCTATAGCAACAGTCATCTTTTGAAAATTGAAATCAGATTATGTATTACTCTGTGTAAAAACCCTTCAGGGATTCTCATAGCTCTTAAAACCCCAACTGCTTTCATGGCCCACAAAGCTCACAAATATTCTCTGCTTGACCAAACTTTGTTTAGGTTCCTGAACCTTCTCCTAGGCCCATCTGTGCAGTTCCCTGTAAAATCTAGTTTTAGCAAGAATCCTGCTAAGGCAGTTTAACCAGAACCCCCCACCCTGGGTACCTGATAGCCCTGGCTACCTGATCAGGTTCCTCATCCTCCACCCCTCCTGGTGGTATCTGATCTCCCTATCCTGTCTTCAGCTAGAAGCCCATCAAGTGGTTTCAGAATCCCCTTCACTCCCCATTTAATAATTTTCTATCCAGTGACCCACCCTGCCCCCCCATCCCAACTCTGTTCCTTGGCTATAAATTCCCACTTATTTATGCTGTATTTGGAATCTATGTTCATTCTGTACTATTGTCTCCTTGAAAAAAAATCTGTTCTTAACACTTTGCCTACTCTCCAGCTATGTTCTTTCTTTGAAAAGGTCCTGCATAATCTGAGTCCTGTCTAAATACTCTCACTATATCCCCAGAACCCATCCACCCATACTGTGATCCACAAATTATCATGCCCATTTTTTGTTATATCTTTTATTTTTAATTTTTAAATTAAATCTTTATTGTTCAGATTATTACAGTTGTTCCTCTTTTTCCCCCCCATAGCTCCCCTCGACCCAGTTCCCACCCCACCCTCTGCCCTTACCGCCCCCCCACTGTCCTCATCCATAGATGTACGATTTTTGTCCAGTCTCTACCCGCACCCCCTACACCCCTTTCCCCCGGAAGAATAGTCAGTTCACTCCCTTTCTATGCCCCTGATTCTATTATATTCACCAGTTTATTCTGTTCATCAGATTATTTATTCACTTGATTTTTAGATTCACTTGTTGATAGATGTGTATTT